CAGTACTTTTCTTTCATCCTCATCATGTGAGTGGATGTGAAAGAAACTAAAATACGTGTGAGTTTTCTGCTCACATCATCACAGTCACCCTGAGACACCAAAAGTTTGAGAAATGTCACCCCTTTAGAATTTATTGCAGATACATAATATTGCAAAGTCATCAGAAATTTCCTTAATTTCTTGTTAAAGGCASTTATCACAATTACCATTTCCCCACACTTCTAAACAAAAACAATAGTGAATTGTCATCTAGGGAACTCCAAATGGAAGAAACATCAACAATGGCAACATTCCCAACTAAACCAGCAAAAGTTTTAGCAACATGGCACCATTCCTTAAAACAAGAAACCTTCTTCAAATGCCTGCTGCTGATTTAACTGTGACTTTCCACTTACCAGAAAAAGTACACAATGGTTAAAAAAGCCTTGGAAACTGCTGAATCCAATCCTGCATAATAACAGCGTGAATGACAGCTTGGAAAAAAATATTGGAATCTAGAAATGTTTTTGTTTTTTCAGACTTTTTTTTTTTGCARTGTCAGCTATACCATCTGGTTGATCTTATGACTTCCATACTCCTTTTTTAGAAGGTGTTTAAAACATTTTGAAATTTATTGTACAAGCTGGCCAAACTCCCTGCTGCCTTCTGGCTAAGAAGCCCTTGCCTGGAAGATGGAAGCCAAAAAATCCTTCCCATAGGATATCTGGTTCCCCTAAACACCTTAATTTCTTCTGTTCTCCTATCCACAATGTGTGTAGGTATGTGAGGACACAATCATCTACTCTTCCTACACATGGAAAGGAATGCTACTCTGAAGTGTAAATATGAATATGGTCTATTATTAATATAATTACTAAACATTTGCAGATAAATTGAACAGGAAAGTGATTATCTCCCCAATTTAACCACTGACTTGTTCTGCTACCCCTTTCCTTAAAAAAATAAGGTTGTACTGGACTGCAGAACCTGTCTCTTGGAGACCGGTGTTTATTCATATGACGCAGCACTTAACTCCCTCAGGATAATCCGACTGAAGCCAATTGGTTTACTTGAGTTACACGCCCGTATTTGCACAACAAAGACACAGCACGACCTACAAATAAGGTCTCCCACTGCCACAGGCAAGTTAACTGATTAGGAAATGCAAATTTGTTGAGTGCAAGTTCCAGRAGGGAAAGGAGTAGCTAAGTAGCATCAGCTACTTACTTAGTAAATAAGGAGCTGAAGCGGCTCAGACATTCCGCCCGGGGCTGCGGGTGAGGGATGTGTTACCGTGTGCTGCCTTCCACCGGCTCTGCTCTCAGAGTGTGAACACTGCACACCCACCCGGGCTCTGCTGTGCTCTCAGCATCCTTCGGCAGGGTCAGACAAAGAGATTCTGSCTCCGCTGCAGTCAGGTGTCTCATCTAGGGATGTTAAGACAGCAAAAAACCCTGCCAGAATTTCCGATCGCTTGATAATGAATGCAAATAAGGAAAGTAAATCAGTCTATAATCCTCTCTACCTCYGAGGGGAAAAAGACTTAAGATTAACCTTAATTTGTGCTGTGGTTTAGTTCAATATGTGGAGACTGATGATTCCTYTCCCACTCTGACCTTAAAAAGCAAGGTGAGGCCACAGGGAGAGGTACTTCCTTCTCTCACCAGCATCCTGCAGCTCTTCAAGCTGACTTAATTCACGTTTTTAATGCTATTTACATTAGCCAGGATGGCTCTATCAGCTGCCTCTGTCATCACCTCACATGCACATGCCGACGTGCCACACTCTGCGGTGCACACAGACATTGGCCTGCTCTGATCAAAGGCCCAGGAAGAAGCAGGTAACATAACCTTGCTTCCCCAAATTCATCTGCTTTAAACTGGCTGAATTCCGTGGTATTCAAGATCTAAGCACATAGGTCAGATGTTATAACTCTTCCTCAATTCCTAAGATTTTATTCTATCCCATACTTTGCAATCCTCTATTTTATCTACGGTACTTTGAACTAATTTGGGTTTTATTCCTCACAGCTCAGACTTAATTGTGTAACACTTTGCTCTGTCGTTACTCAGTTTTTGGCATATATCAGTTATGACACAGTATATTCCCTTCTTTTTCAGGAAGGTCTTGATATCATATTAATGAAAATATAATATGGATTAGGATGCTGGGTTCATTATGCATATTTTTACACTAAGATTCCCACACAAGAATAAGAAACTGCCTAGTACCTTTCTTGGGATGAGAAAGCAAACAAAAACAGATGACATAATTTTGTCTACCAAACTCATTATTCTTTGAAGTTCTCACAAAAGAACCATTCTTCAACTGATTTTACAGTGAATATAAACGTCTTTCCCTCTGTTCTTTCAGCTTTACCCAATACTTCAGGCTTTCTGCACCTCTGTGCTTATTTCTGTATCACACACTGGAGGCTGAGGCACCTCAGGACACAGGGAAATAGGGCTTTTTTTTTCTTTTTCTAGATGTCTTAGCTCTGCACCCCAGAAAAAAATATATTCCATTTGAATAGCTCTCTCTTCTCACTCACACAGTGCACACTTTCATATTTAGCAGGGAGATTTGTTTCCTAAACCTCATTAAGCAGGGAATATTTTTACTAATCCAATTCAGCAAATTATAATTTTATCAGAACTGTCCTTTAGAAAGAGCTTTCAGAAATTGCCCTGCAATTCATCTGGAAAATGCGCACAAATAGAGGGATTTATTTTCCAAACAGAGACTTAATCTCTCATTTAAAAAAAAAAAACCAAAAAAACCACAAAAAACCAATACAGGACAATAGCTAGTGTTGCTAAATTTAACAWAGTGTCTGTTTCTATGCCATAGATAAAAATTCAGCATCTTTCAAGATRTGACCTTTACATTAAATCTCTCTTCAGGAGCATGCATTGCCCTTACAKCTGCTGTCAGTATTGAATGTACCTGACTAAATGGGAAAGGGGATGCTCTGCAATCAGCAGTGTGTGGGCGTCACACTGACAAACACACATGGGTACATTTCTTCTGCTCGCTCAGCTCACAAAATCTCTCCATTTCTTTGTTGGCTGGATTTTTATAGCACAGACTGCCATGGTACCCAAGGGACGTGGAAATGACAGAAGCACATCATCCTGAGGTCTCAGCCCACACTGCCTGTACTTTATTTTTCTTAGTATGAAATAAAACAGCACAAGATTTAATAAACTGGTTCGAATTTTATTATTTTGCATGGGTCTGACTTTGATGAAGATKTTAAAAGTACCAGCTTGAGAATTAATGATGACAAAACATTAATAAATCACAGTGGGTCCAGCTTGAGGAAATGGCAGCAGGAAGAATGCTGAGGTCGTAAGAATTAAAAGATGATTAAAGATGCATTGGGTTACGCCTTAGTCATGGACTGAAAATGTCATTAAAAAAAATCATCAAACCCCCTATAAATAACGCCGTGATTATTTCTTGGGGAAATTGYCTGGTATTTCAACTGTGCTCAATTGTTTATTTTCCTTCCTCAATAGAGCAAAGACTGAAATATTTACTAGATTATTTAAATGTTATTTTATRCACCACTGTCTGCAGAAAAAGTAATGTTTTCAGCATATACAGCTCAGGAAACAGTAAGAAAAATTTAATCTGATGAAAAATGAACTACTTTTGAAACAACAAAATAGGTAGGTATGGAGCAAAAAGCAAAGCACAAGGTCAGACTCTAAAATGAAGTAAAATTCTGATCAAAATGGGATATAACCACTGCTTCTATCCTTATACAACCAAACCTAGAATTTAGCACRGGGTATTTGATTCTGCCATCAAAATATGACTTCATTATTCATTTTACAGCACTAAAATAAATTACTTTGGGATGTAGCCTCCCCTTGAAACCCAAGGTATACACAGTTTATTAGCACTGCCTTATGCCTAYTCAGCACAGCCACATCCATCAGCCCGATCATGTGCTCTGCAGGATGACCCACGTCCTTAATTGCCAAGGAGAAACACAGACACGGGCAGTATTTGCTTGGCTTTCCAGAAACCATCTGGTAGGTACGGATGGAGGCGTTTAAGCTGCAGGGAAACATCTCCGCCTTTGAACAGTCGTTCTGAGGGGCCGACCCTGCGCTGGGGCAGCAGCATCAGCGCTGCGGGGCTCAGGGTGACAATGCCAGCCCGAGCTGTGCCCAGCCGGCCCGGCTGTAAGCAGAGATCTCCGGAATGGTTTGGGTCGGGAGGGACTTTAGAGCCCATCCATTTCCAACCCCCTGCCATGGGGGAACGCCTTCACCAGACCAGGCTGCTCCAAGCCCCGTCCAACCTGGCCTTGGACACTTAGAGGGATGGGGCAGCCACAGCTTCACTGGGCAACCTGTGCCAGGGCCTCACCGCGCTCACAGCCAGGAACTGCCCCGCAACGCCCAAAGTCAGGGGGAATCTATCCCGCTGCTTGTCCTGTCCTGCTGCGCCTCCAAAATCCCCCTTTCCCGGAGCTCGGGCTGGTGTGCAGGACACTGCCCGGCGGTGGGGCAGGCGCGGTGCCGGTACCGATCCCTTTCCCATTCCCCCTCAGCCCCGGTGCCGGCACGGAACCCATTCCCCCCTCAGCCCCGGTGCCGGTACCGTTCCCATTCCCCCTCAGCCCCGGTGCCGGCACTGATCCCTCTCCCTTTCCCATTTCCCCTTCAGCCCCGGTGCCGGTACTGATCCCTTTCCCATCACCCCTCAGCCCCGGTGCCGGCACCGATCCCTTTCCCATTCCCCCTCAGGGGCCCAGTGCCGGCACCGATCCCGTTCCCATTCCCCCTCAGCCCCGGTGCCGGCACCGATCCCTTTCCTATTCCCCCTCAGCCCCGGTGCCGGTACCGATCCCATTCCCCCTTCAGCCCCGGTGCCGGCACCGATCCATTTCCCATTCCCCCTCAGCTTCGTTCCCGGCACCGATCCCGTTCCCCCTCAGGGACACTGCACGGGCGGGGCCGGGTCCGGGGCGTGCCCGGCTCATGCGCGGTGCCGGCGGCGGGCGGTGCCTCACGGGCTGGCGGGAGCCGGGCCCGGCCATGTCCGACGCGTATTTCCCGGTGGGGCCCGGGCTGGGCATGGAGGAGAATTTCCTCTCGCTGGACGACATCCTGATGTCGCAGGAGAAGGTGCCGGGCCGCGCCGCGAGCGCGCTGCCGCGCCTGGCCGTGATGCTGGGGCAGGGCGCCGGCAGCGCCGAGTCCGTCCCGGAGGTAACGGGGGAGGGGACACGGGATCGCGGCTCCCGGGAGGGGACGGGGCGCGGGGGGCTCTGTCCCGGAGCCGCCGCATCCCCCACACCTCCTGTCGCGCCTCCCAGGCCGCCCTCTGTTCGTGGTCACTGCATTGATGCTCCCGGCTACTTTCTCAAAAGTTGTTTATGCTTTTGTCATAKGCACTTTGCCTGTCTTTTTTTTCCCCTCTTGCTGTTTCATAATATGACAATTATTCAACCACAGATCCTCAACAAAAAGTCTGCTTTCTAAGTGTTGTGCTAATAACGCCACTAAAAAGTGGTTTATGTGGAAAAAAAAGGTGTCTGGTTTATTTTGTTCTGAAAACAAAATTGACTTTCTGTAATGCTGGATATTCATTAATAAAGTTCACTCTCTGTCTTTGGGCCTGCTTCATGTGTAGTGTCAKGGCAAGGATAACTTTTGGCTTCTCTCGTTCCTCCAGGGATCGAAGCTGGAAATGCCACTGTGGCTTGCTAAAGGGCTGCACGACAGCAAAAGGAGAATCATCTCTGTGGAACTGCCGAAGATTTACAGGGAAGCCTGGAGGACGGTGTTCAGTGCTGATGCCAATGTGGTTGATCTGCATAAAATGGGGCCCTACTACTATGGATTTGGCTCACAGCTCCTGAATTTYGAGAATCCAGAGAATCCTGAGATAGCTCAGACTATCCTGCAGGCAAGTATCTGAACTAGGTCTTGAAATTTGGGTTTGCATTTTTCTGTCATCTTTTCGTTCCCAGCTGCTCAGCAGTCTTCAGGAAAAATATCCTGGTTGAATCCAAATGACTTCTGGATTGAATATGGATGACTCTTGGCAACTGCACAGGCTAGTGCTGGAAGCCTCCAGTGTGCRTCCAGGAGTGTAATTTTAACTTGGCGTTTCCACACTGTAAATAGGATATTWCAGAAAATCCTGTAAAACAGGATGAGAGGAGATGTAAGATGATTTAATTGTGCTTGTACTGCAAGGCACAATTATTTCACCCTTATTGTTTCAATTTTTCTACCCTGTTTTTAAATCTCTAACTTGGAAACCTCACACTTCTCTGGGCGGTCTCTTTCAGTGCCTCGCCGGCCTCAGTTTAGGAGGTTTGCTCTCATGTCTGAACCAAARCTCCTTCACAGCAAAACAAGCTCTGTTCTGTTTGTCTCATACAAAGTAAATGCTGAGGACAGATTATTCTCTTCCTTCCTGCAGCAGTCCCAGTTCATTTGATATCTCTCTATGGGTCATRCTTCCTAACCTCTGATTGCCCTTTTTGTTCACTGCTGCTGTCTCTCCAGTGGATCTGCATCCACWGTGCTGTGCCCTGAACAGCATTGCAGTCTCATGCTCAGGACTTRTGCTGATGAAAACAAAAGGATTACTTTGTGAGTTTTGTGTGTCTGTGGTGCTCTTGGCTCATYGTGGTGCAGCATCTGGTTTGTCACGATGCAGTCACATGGATCTGTGTTTGGGTTGCAGTGCACAGGGACATGRTACAGGTTGCATCTGCAAACAAGTAATTTCCTGACTTTGTACAATTTCTGCCATAATGTAAATCTTTCTGATAGTTCTGGGTGAATTATACCCTGTTGTTTTCACACCATCCTTCCAATTTGTCAGGATTGTTATGAATTAAGAGTTCTGCTCCCCAACTTGCYTGTAGTCATCCCTTCTCCTTCTCCTGCATGTTGCTTGCTGACCCAATAATCACAACTTCTATTCCTTTAGAAAGCTCGTTAATTAACATCTCAAACAGTACTTGGTTCCACATAGACCCCAGTGGAACTCCACTCAGTGTGTTCTTCCCTCCTGACAGGAGCTGTGGSTGATGGCTGTCTCTCCTGACCATCTGTGGGTGGTCTGGCTAACTCTAACAAGAATGCCCCACAACAGATACCCCTCCGCTGCTTTTCCTGCGTGTGCGAGGCCTGGCATCCTGCCCTARCAGGAAACCAGGCTGGGCTCTGGGAGTTTGTTCTTGGCAAGTCCATGATGGCTGTTACTCTTTTGTTCTCTTGCAGAAGTTTCTGTATTGSTTCTTCGTTCCAATATGCTTCCAGGAATTGATGCTGATGGATTTATAATTCCCGGCTCTTCCTTTCTCCCTCTCCATATCCCCTTTCTCTTTTAAAAGATAGATGCCATCTTTGTCTGTTTCCGGACTTCATTCTTCTTGAGCTTTTAAACATAACCACTAACAGCTCTGAGGTCTCTCCAGACAGGTCTCTAAGTGGGCTGGGATGATTTTTATTGCATTTTTTTCTTTTCTCTGTGCTTTACATTAAGGCTGATGCAGAGAGGCTTTAAAGTGCTGCTGCTTTCTTGGAGTTGTCCACTGAACATGTGCTTTGTGCATTGAGGAGGTGCCCACACCTTTCCTTGTGTTTTCTCTTTCTGCTAATGGACACCTTAGGAAAAAAAAAGCCACAGTACAACTCATTACTTATTGACAAAAAAAYCAAAGCACTTTGCTTTTAATCTCTTTTTAAAAGCAAGAGGGGAGTTGTGCTGACTTAAAAACACACTCCAAAGTATTCTGGAACTATGAATGGGAAGTGTAACTGTTTGGTGACAAAGTCAAAATGACGGTTATTAATTTATAATATATTTATCCTTTAAGTTCTGTTGATTCTAAAATCAGCTTCTGAAATAAAGCACAGTTTTCAAAGAGTTTTGACCCATTTTTTTCCAATTCCCAAAACAAAGATCGAGAGGAAAATAAAAATTCTTAAATATGTCTTGTTGCCTAGGTTTTCAAAATGCTATTTATAAGTTGTAGATTGGTGTGGTTTTTCACCTTGTTCATGATTAAGTGTTTTTCTAGCATGCTGAGTGCTTTTCAACAGCGGTTTGGTGTAACTTCCAGGACATGCAAAACTTACAGCTTGTTCCTGGGATGAGATTCATTGCTCCTGCTCTAAAGTAACACCACTTGAGAAATGAGATGGAATAGATCATAATTGTGTTGGATCCTGTGGTCTCCTCAAGCCTATTGTGAGGAAGCAGCCAAAATCCAAATCTGTGTTTTGCTTCCCATCCAGTATCAAGCCCTTGCTCTCCTATGCCAGGTGCAAAGTGGTTTTGTCTTTGTAGCCAAGCTTAACAAGTGCTGTGTTAGTTGCAGACCCTTGGCTGGTTGTGAATAGGAACCTAAACCTTTTGGCTTTTCCGTTTTGAAAGCTCAGGCYGCCAGGTTTGAGCTGGGGGTGGCTCTGTGTTACCTGTCAGTGACTCTGTTTGTGTTCCTCAGACGTTCACTGCCCGTTTCCGCCGCATCATGGACTCCTCTCAGAACGCCTACAACGAGGACACGTCAGCGCTGGTGGCTCGGCTGGATGAGCTGGAACGGGCTCTCTTTCAAGTGGGCCAGAAAGGGCTGAATGACTTCCAGTGCTGGGAAAAGGGACAGGCTTCTCAAATCACAGCCTCCAGTCTGGTGCAGAACTATGGGAAAAGGAAGCTCGCAGAAGTGGATGGTTAAAAACCTGAAGAACATGGACTTACAGTGGGGGACACAGAATTACAGTCTGTCTGTTGTAGGAGAGAAAAATGAATCCATTTAGGGAAGGACAGGCTCCCTGTCCATTAATGGGAATTTTTCTCTGTAATTTTGGATTTGACTAGTGAAAATTTTAAAGGCAGAGGGCAAGGATATAAAAAATAGATTACATCACTGAATAGCCTTGCAGCTTACTCATAGCACTCCTGAGGAGTTGCAGCTAAGTRTTTGCTAGGTGGCTGAAAGACTGTGAGAGGATTTTCTAAAAGGGTAATAAATATTAATTATTCTTCSAAATTAATGTTTACAACACCAGATCTGGMAAGAAGTGTAATTTATATRTTTCATCTTGCTCTTCCTGTCCCARCTTCCTGGAAACAACTGTTGATTCCATAAACAGCTGCTTTCAGGTTCCCTGTCTTTAGAGAGCCCCAGTGATGTGGAAAAAACTGTGACACAGCATTAATTTTTTTTTCATTTCTTGTACACTGAGGTGGAACAGGTGCTCTTTCTGAGGCAGGAATGTTTTTCTTTGCTGACTTCTGTACACAGTGCCAGTGCCCTGGAGAGAAATACCTCCTTAAGCCCACAYAGCAAGTGGCTCTGCAGGTCTAGTSCTGCCTTGTCCTCTCTCTCCCTTTTTGGCCCTTGTGACCTTGGTGCTGTGCAATAAAGAATGTTCCTGTTTGATGCCTCTGGCTTTTGTGCTGGATGTGTCTCTGATGGGTKTTTACAAGGAGGAAACAGAAGGCAGCAAAGAGTAAAGTCTGGACCAGATCAAAAGCAGAAACTACAGTGGAAACTGCCCCATTATCCACCTTTGAGATATTTGTTTTTCCATGAGAAATTATTTTGATTTCTAAGTTTGTTTAGTAGAAGGGGCAGAGGAAATGAACTGAGTTTCTTTTCTTCAGATCCATCTCAATGAATCCAGCAAAATTACCCTGGTAAATGTCATCCTTKCCAGTAAGAGTGACTGGATTTGGAACTTGCTGAACAGCACAGTGGTTATCATCCCATGTKGATGCCCTTAAATCTAGATCATCTGAATTCCCATTGAGCTGGAGACAGAAGACATGGTTATCTCTGTAGGGCTTAGCTTCTGCAGCCATCAGGATGGTTGTMCTTTGGAAGCCATATCAGACATCTGACAGGTGCTTCTGTGCCTCTCTGGAAGGTGGACCTTGTGGAGAACCTAAGAAGAGCCAGATCCTGATGACACTGAACCCTTCTGTGGGAATCACTGGGAGATTGAGCAAGATTCAAATCTCAGAGTTGTCACTGGACTTGCAGATGCATCTTAATATTGGATGTTTCAAACGAGACCTTGAGTACAAAAAGCCATTCCTTGGCCAGAGATGTTCAAGCTCAGCCTTTGGAGGTGGTGAGGGGACAATGCTGTGCCTTCACAAAATCTTGGTGCCTCCCCCTCAGCTACACAGAGCCAGCTGTCCTGCCACAGGAGACTAATTGGAAGCCTGCCTGACCAAATGTTTTAAGTACGTGCAGGATGAAATATTGCTGCACTTAATGACTTAATGGCACATAATGGCTTATGCATTTTCATGAAGCTTTTGTCTATTGTCCATTTCTGTATTTTTATCCTGAATAAATATTTTGTAAGGGAATCTTCATAATGTGAAAAGTCTRTTGTTAATTGCCCTGCAGCAGAAAAATCAAATGGAAGAGTCCAGGTCTCTACAAAAGTGTGGCCACAATAGATAATCCCTCTGCTCTTAGAGATAATGTGGYTGGGAGCTAATTTGTGCAGTTGTACCAGTGTAGAAATGGTTCCTGTCTGACTTAGCTCAGGTGGGCACTGGCAGTTTGCACAGGGTCTGGCAGCCAATCAATAAGCTGTTGATTCTATGAATTGCATTTTTAGGAACATGAGATGGATGGAGATGACTCCGTGTTACCTCGACTTTGTTGTAGTGGTGGGTGGAGGTGGGAATTGGCTGTCTGTGTATCCAGATCCTGCTGCTCCAGGCACTGTGGCAAACACTTCATGTACCATGGCAGAGCTGTGTTCAGTGCTGCAAGGAGAGCAACTTGAAGTGCATCTGTGACAAGAAGCATCTTTCAATTGGAAATATTTTACTGAGATGTTTTTGGCTTTGGGATCTAGCTGGTTTATAACCAAAATCATTAGTTCCATGAATTTCTGGCCTGGTTTTGGTGACTATCCAAACTAATTTTCCTGCATTTGTAAGAGCATTTTTCTTCTGTACTGCTGGATGCAAAATTCAAGCAGACGGTTGCTCACTTGCCAACATTTTGTGCACTGCCTTCAGAGGACAGAGAAAAAAAATCTGTGAAACAGTCTTCAATGTCACTAGCTTTTTGTATGTAGGCAATGTCTCTTTTAGTAGCTGTGAATTTAAGAGTTAAAAAATCTGATCCTGTAATTTTAAATTACAGTATTTGGTTAATAAATCTTGGTTAGATTGTTTTTCTGTCCAGAAGTACAARAGTGCTTTTTGTGAACACAACTCTCCTTTTCCATGGCACTGCAGAAAGCTTTAAGTTGGAGGMGTTTGAACTTGGGTATTTTCAGAATGTTACAATAAATCTTCATTACAGAACTACCCGGAAATGGTCTGAAAAGGACTTTTAAGTTTTATTTCTCCYCATGTCCTTCAGCTTTTAAACTGAAGGACTACTGATGTTTATGGTGAAGCACAAGTGTAATGATAGACGCATTTTACAGTATTGCCATGAATGTTTTCATTGCAGTGAAAAAATAGGCAAAATTTGAGCAGCTRCCAGGAGGAGCAGCAACAAAATGTGTTCTGAGAACTGACATACTCTTAACACCACACACCATTATTTTTATGAGAGGAGCACAAGCTTTTCTGAGGATAACAGACTGCCCTGGTGTCATCCTGGTGTCACTCTGTCACATGAGCGTGTAATGGGGGAAGGCTGTGCACACTGCAGCTCAGATCTGATGGCTTTGCTTTGCAAGACCAGCTTTGGAAGCTGAACTCAAGTGGATGTAACATTTTTCTGTGCTTTGTGCTGATGAAGAAATCTAARTCTGAGCTTAAGCCACTGGTTTCATGCTGGTCCCATAACTTTCAGTTGTAGGTAGTGAGGACCCCTACTTGGTCTGTGAGGTCAAACTGGATATCTGACTGACTTTTTCTGTTGCATCTGCCAGGCAAGAGCACAAGTGAGATTCAAATCCGAGTTTAGGTTGTGCTACCTTGTCCTAGATTTGAGCATACATGAAGGGTGGATGTCATGGCTGGCAGTGAAAATGAAGGATCACTGACTGCTGCGGAAGGAGGGAAGTGGTGAGAAAGCTGTGGAATCCAAAGCCCTTCTGTCAAGGAGAAATTTGCCATCCTGTGGGCCCTGGTCACGATGGTGAAAAAGAACCCAGAGGGGGCTTGAGGCAAGGAATGAAAACAAGAAGAGGAGACAGTGTGCTTCCACCTCCCCTGGGCACACTGARTGTGCTTGTTAGGCTTTGTTTCCCAGTGGAAATTGCTCTGGGGAGCCTCTTCCCTGAGGGCTGGCCAGGCTGCACAGAGGCCAGGCTTTGCTGCTTCCTGGGAGCCCCCAGAGCCAACTCCTTGCACTGCCTTGGGGACCAGGAGAGCACCAAGAGCCCCAAAAGCACCAAGAGCMYCAARAGCMCCAAGAGCCCCAAGWGCACTGCRYTGTCACCAGAGMACTCCTCAGCTSRTGTGGAAAATTACAAGGGGCAGCACAGCCCCAAAAAGCCAAGGCATTTGTTCTGGTTTTCCAAACACTTCATTAATGTCATTGACAACACTAGCAGGTTCCTCAGATTAGCGTGCTTCTATTTTTGAAGAGTTATTCCTCGTGGCAGGCTGCCAAGCAGTGCCAGCAGCGTCAGTATCCTTTCTATCTGGATTGGCAGGACACACCGGTTCATTGCCTTTCCTTAGCCTTTGTGAGGACTTGGAGCTGCAGCTCTTTGCAGGGCTCCCTCATACCTTGGGGCAAATGTACCTTCTTTGGGATTCCCAGCTTCTGTGCAAAGCAGAAATCCCCTGTGTTTTAGGACAAAAACCACTTTTCTGCTGCTGGGTTGAGGCAAGGCGCAGGCAGCAGTTGGGTGAGCAGAGTTTGAGGGGTGAGGAGCACAGAGAGACACAGAATAAGGAATTCCAGTTTGCCTGCAGATGAGCTTGAGGAACTACARCCCTAAAGACAGTCCCAGACTTACMCTCCTYGGRTTTCTGGGTGTCTAGAAATGGGCAGTGGTAAGGAGATGTCTCCTGAGGGTCGTGATGGTGCTGTTCCATCTCTGTGGTGATGTTGTCATACAGAAAAGGGTGGCAAAAGTCAAATAGAGGTTGAAAACCGGACTCTCAGCTTGTGTGGCTTGTAGGACAGGGCTTGTCTCTAGCTGTCCTGTTGGTCCCTAAGAGTCCTGGGCTCTCCTCAAGGAAAGCAGAAGAAGATTGTGACAAACCCTTACAAACCCTTGCTGAACACAAAGCACAATTTTCTCCCTGACTTCAGACCAAGAAGCTGCCAAATGCTTGGGATTTAGTGTGGCTTTTTTTTTTTTTTTTTTTTTTTCTCAGGCATTAGAGCAAAAGTGGAGTGAGGAGGTGGCTGTGGGACTTGGCAGAGATGCACTTGGGAGGAAACAGCAAAGCAGATGCAGAAATCAAAGTACAATCACAGCAGCCCTCAATCACAGTACAATCACAGTGCCCGTTTCTCCTGCTCTGGGACATCCTCAGCAGGGTGGGTGTATCTTTGCAGAAAGGCTCCCAGCATGGATTTAAGATGAGTTTCTTGCCTTCACCTTGCTTACAAATACAAGATTTTTGGGGTTTTGGCTCTTCAGTTGACATCCTGCACCTCCTTTCCTAAGTGCTCTTTGTACGCCTGTGTGGCTGAATGACCCTTTCATGGCTGGGGTGAGGAAACAAGCCATGCACAGGCCCTGGGCAGCACTAACAAACCAACTGTGAGTCACACCTTTTGCAAAGTCTGCCAGAGAAAAGTCCTCCCTCCCTTCAGCTGAGCTGGTGGAGACCCAAGGAGCACTGATGGAGTGGAGCCAGGCCTCCTGGGCAGGGCTGTACTCTGTTGCACTGCCCCTGAGCATTTGGGGTCATTCCAAATTTGCTCCAGATCAGCAGGGTTYATTGCAGTCATGGTGGATTTACTAAGCCCTGCCTGGAGGCTGAGCTGTTATTTTTCCTTTCAGTTTGGGCTCTCAGGTGCACAAATGCAGCTCTGTCTGCCCTGCTGGGTCTGTCCCTGCTGATGCAGACAGAATGGGGTGAACAGATCGTGGTCTCCCTGGGTGTCCAGGCTCTGTTCACCCAGCAGTGCTCTGGATTCACACAGCATCCTCCAAGTGAGCCCTCCCAGGGCTGGCAGTGACATTTAGCTGAGTGGTCCCACTCTCATCCCTGGAGCTCTGCTGTGTCCTGGCTGCACCCAGCATCCTGGGGCTTCAGCTGAGTCAACAGGGCAGGAAAAAGGCTCGAGGAAAAGAAAATCACTGCAAATCAGGCCTTGGGAACAGCATCTGCTTTATGGCAGGGACCGTTTTAATCTCCTTAGCAATCGCCTCAATTGTAGAATCAGCAGGATGCTAATTAATTGAGAGGCACTCTGCGACAGCCATTGAGAGATCCCTTCCTGGCTTTCAGTGGAAGCCTTTTGGCTTTGSCATTTGTGCTGGCTGCTCT